AAGAAAGAAGGAAAAAAAGAAAGAAGGAAAAAAAGAAAGAAGGAAAAAAAGAAAGAAGGAAAAAAAGAGTATCTTAGGAGGATCTCCTTCATGTGACAAGGCAATAACTCTGCTGACTACTTCAGAATACGTGAATTAGCCATTTCTTAAACCACGATAAGAAATTATACCTGCCTGTATAAAGATTCTCAAGCTACAACATGGTAAGCAATTGAAGAAAAAGAGGCTTTAACAATATCATTTACAATCTTGGATTGCCTTGCCTGATAGAGTCTCACAGAATAAAGCAGTGGGAGACATCAATCTTGTGGCAACTGAACCATCGGTTACTGAATCAGGTTAAGCTCTGGAATTTGTTACTGCATCTTGATATCTCCCAAGTTTTACCATCTCTTTATCTGTAATCAAGTTGCAAAGTTCCAGCCAGGCTCCCCAGTGCAAAGGCAAGACGTGGGCAGCTTCAACGAACACATCTATTGCTTCTTTCACCAGGTCCAGCTTCCGCAGCACGACACCATACCTGTAAAGAAGAGTTATCAAGTTAATCAGAATCATAAAGCTCTGCATATCCACATGAATACAACAGAAATACACGCAGACACTTACAGATAAAGGCCAAAGCCATCCAGTTCCCGTGCCTTGTGTTTCTTGCTGAGCTCAACTCTCAATTCTCGTAGAGCTTCATTTTTCACCTGTCCTTTTTCCAGAGGTCCTGCATGAAGAGAAAGTCAAACAGCTAACTTTCAATCAAGATTCTTACCACAGCAATTATGAAGTCTAGAGTATATTCAGAATCACTGACATGACCTGAAGGCTTCCCAGTCTGTGATTATTTTCCTCTTTTTAAAAGAAAATCACTTAGCCTGATCACCTGCTTTAACAGAAGAACTAATAGATGAAAATCCATAACCTGCATTAAGCAAAGTAATTGAGAGAGAATGAAAAGAAATCATGTTACAGCACACTATTATCCAAAAATTCAGGGGAAAGCCATAAAACCAAGATGATTTACATGAAGAGGCATTACTGGAAGCTTTATTATATTGTCTTGTGTTCCCTGACACCAGACACTTACCCAAACTATCGACTGTCTCATCATCCTTCTTCTTTTCCCCTGACTGTGGAAAAGAGGAAAACCAAGATTACATTACAACAGCATATTCCTTATGTTTGCTGCAATGCTAGCAGCAGTATGCAAACTGAGTTTTCACAAACATCGCAGTTCTAAAAAACAACACCCCCATCTCCCTTCCCCCCAGATATGTAATTTGGATTTCTGGGTGGTCATTTGGAACAGAACAGGCAAAAAATCAGGTATGTCACGGAAGGGTGGGAAGCAGAGGAGTTCAGTGCTAAAAAGCGACTTTTTTGTCTATCTTACCAGATATCTAGAGTACATATACAAGAAGTAAGCTTTCTGACTCTTGCAGCCTCGTAGAAAATAGGCAGCCCTGTCATATTCCTTCAGATCAAAGTAAGACTTGGCTAATGTATAGGCATCCAGATCACGAGCATCCTCCTGCAAGGACACAGAAGAGTTTAAGACCTCAGAGGCTCTGACATGCTTTAGGAAAATCACCTAGTTACAAACATATCAACGAAACTGCTCTGAAAGCTAAAAACATAGTTTATTTATTCTCAAAGATAGTTTGAGTACAATTAGAAAAGTCTCTGTTGCCTCACATGATCTGATTCCTAGTTCTCAAATAGTAAGTACAGACTCGTTAGAAACATTTAAAATATACAGTGAGATTCCAGAAAACAAATTGTGGCAAGCTGCCAGAAGGCATGAATTAGCTGTTCAATGAATATGATGAATGACCATAAATAAGAAACCTACTCAGGAATTCCATATCAAACCGTATCAACCCACTAACTTAAATGCAAACATTTCCTTAGTAACTATGCCTTGAAATGCATTTATGACATGTTACACTTCAGTAATTTAACAAAACACACATATACCTAAAGGTCCCACTCTACACCTACAGAGGTGGGGATGGAGATACAACTCGTTTCTCTTGTGTCCTAAGGAGCACAAGTTTAATGGCACAACATAATCTGTATTACAGTAAGTTTTGGCCTTAGTAAAGATGAATAAAAATTAAAATTAAGTAGCACGATTTCAAATTTTGCTTACAGAGTATCTCATTTAGGGCACAGCAACATGTAAAATGCAATGCTTTCATCTCAGAAAGCATATTCAGCTCTGTCCTCCCCACTAAATATAGAATGGAAGGCAACTTCACCGCATTATAAAATAATCAGCATTCAGAGCAGGCTCCCGCACATATGCTTTTAAGAAGACCGCTATCGCATTTTTTCTGTAGCAGTTGTAGACAGGGTTAAAAAGCAGCCCGCGATCCCTGCCAGCCAGAAGAACTACAGCAT